CCTCCCTGCACTGTGAATGTTTACATGTTATGTTCAATTAAACCATGGCAACATGTAATGTTTGTGTATTATTATTTTCAACAGACTGTGTTTTTCTATTGTTGTGACTTAGATGACGTTCAGAGCACATTTTATGACCAATTCATGCAAAACTCCGCGTTATCCCAAGGGGTTCACATACTTTTTCTTGCAACTGTATCCTTTTTTACCTTGTATGTATGTATGTATGTATGTATGTATGTATGTATGTATGTATGTATGTATGTATCTCTGTGTGTGTGTATATATAAAATAAAGGTAAACAAGGATACTGTATATGCAGTGTTATCTTCATTTTAGATGTCAAAACGGTCTCTCTCTCTGTCTCTTTCCTTTCTCTTTCCTCTCTCTTTCCTCTCCCTCTCTTTCCTCTCTTTTTTCTCTTTCCTCTCCCTCTCTCTCTCTCTTTCCTCTTTCCTCTCCCCTTCTTTCTCTTTCCTCTTTCTTTCCTCTCTTTCTTTCTCTTTCCGTTTCCTCCCTCTTTCTCTTTCTCTCTCTCTTTCCTCTCTCTTTTCCTATGTTTCTCTCTCTTTCCTCTCTCTCTCTCTTATGGCTGCATCGTCGGGGGTCCCTGATGCCGCCGCCCCTGCCAGGACTCCGCGCTGCCCGGCCTCATCCTCCGCCCATCGATGGAGTCACAGTGGGGCCAGCGCCCGCCTGAGCTGCCTGGGGGGCAGCAGGAGGAAGAAGGAGAGGGCGAGGAAGCAGCCGCCCCAGACGGGACTCCGTGCTGCCTGGCCTTGCCCTCTGCCCATCAATGGAGCCGCGGTGGGGGCTGGTGCCGCGCGGCCCCTGCCAGCCCCTCCGCCAGCCCAGCTGCTCCCCCCCAGGTACCCCTCTTGCCCCGGCACTTGCCGGAGACATCTGAGGGGCACCAGGAGGAAGAAGGAGAGGAGGAGGGTGAGGAAACAGCTGCCACCACCCCAGCTGGGACGCCGCGCTGCCCGGCCTTGCCCTCCGTCCATCTGATGGAGCCGCAGTGGGGGCTGGTGCCGCGCGGCCCCTGCCAGCCCCTCTGCCAGCTCAGCTGCTCTCCCTCAGGCACCCCTCCTGTCCCGGCGCCCACCCGAGCCACCCGGGGGGGCAGCAGGAGGAAAAAGGGGAGGAGGAAGAGGAGGGCAAGGAGATAGAGAAGCGGTGTCTCGGTTCCCAAGACCCTCGGAAATATGTGTTTTCCAATGGTCTTAGGCGACCCCTGTGAAAGGGTCGTTCGACCCCCAAAGGGGTCCCGACCCACAGGTTGAGAACCACTGGTTTAAACTAACCGGAAAATTACAAAGTGACATCTGAGGACATCTAATGGCAAGAGCAAAGAACTACATTAAAATATTTACTGAACTTATCTATATTTTGTCTAGAAAAGTAAAAGTTGGCTTGATGCCTGGACATAACTTGAAGTTTGATGTTCCTGACCTTCATAGTCCTGTGGATTACAGTTGAAAAGAGAAGGCTTTCTCTGGGCTGTTTTCTTTTTTCTTTTTGTTCTGCAGGATGGATTATAACTAAAAGATATAAACTACCTTGAAACCATCTGGTCTTTTCTTTGGATTATAAGTACTGTTGGAACTGCATCTTTATAAGTTCCTTAATAGACAGAGTGAGTATGGATTATAAATTTTTAACGTCGGATTGGAGAACTATTTGTGGACAGTGGAAACTGAAATAGTGAAAAACGTCTTGAAGAAGGCCTAATAGATCACTAATTCAAATAATAGGTCTTCATGGATTATAAATTTTGACTGAGGGGCAACTTTGGATACAGAATAATTGTCTTTGGAAGTGAGTCCCCTCCATTTGGATTGTAAATATTGTTTTGAACTGTGATTATTAGGGCTACTTAAGGATAGACTGAGAGAAGGAACTTTCTATAAGCAAGATACTTTGGACTAATTTTTGGCACAGAAGTAAAGTTGGACCTTGGGACATTTTTTTCTTTTTCTTTTTCCTCTTCATTTTCCATCTCTCCTATTGGTTGGGGAGAGTCCAGTGGATTATAAATTATAAACGTTGGTTTGTAGAACTACCTATCGACAGTGGAAATTGAAATTGTGGAGAAGCATTTTGGAGAAAGTTTATGACTATCAATTTAATCTGCCCTAACAGTTTTTGGAAATG